TTTCTACTTCTCTTTTAGGGGAAATATTCTGCCTTTTTAATATTTCCTTGGCTATTTCATATTTCTAGGAGAGGGGTTGGGTGCTAACTTCCTACAATACAAAAGCACCATCCAAAATTCCTTTTAGAGGAATTTCACTTCTTCTGCAAAAGGAAATATCTAGAAGATTTTGCTGATAACCAGAAAATGGCCGTTAGCCATTTTCCACTTTCCTTTTCTCTCTACCTATAATTTTAATCCTGAGAAAAGTTTGAATACAAAGAATTAGGCCAGAATTCAGTCAATTTCTCACCTACACTTTGTGAATGGGAGATCCCAAATGAAATACAATCCTTCATTAAACTCTTCAAGTTTTGCACCATGTGGATTTCCATGTGTGCACTAAGGGATTTATGCTTGAAGTAAGGATCACAGACTGGACATTTAAAGGGTATCTCTCCTGTATGAGTCCTCTAGTGTACAAACATATAGGAATTGCGACTAAAACTTTTCCCACAATCAGGACATTCAAAGAGTTTCTCTCCTGTATGAGTTCTCGGGTGTTTCACAAAGTTGGAATTATCACTAAAAGCTTTTCCACAGTCAGGACATTCAAAGGGTTTCTCTCCCGTGTGAGTCCTCTGGTGTTTCACTAGGTTGGAATTATCACTAAAAGCTTTTCCACAGTCAGGACATTCAAAGGGTTTCACTCCTGTGTGAGTTCTCTGGTGTATTAGCAGGCTGGAATTCTCACAGAAACTTTTCCCACAATCAGGACATTCAAAGGGTTTCTCTCCTGTGTGAGTCCTCTGGTGTATCACAAGGGTGGAACTGTGACTAAAACCTTTCCCACAGATAGGACATTCAAAGGGTTTCTCTCCTGTATGAGTCCTCTGGTGTTTCACTAGGTTGGAATTATCACTAAAAGCTTTTCCACAGTCAGGACATTCAAAGGGTTTCTCTCCTGTGTGAGTTCTCTGGTGTATTACCAGGCTGGAATTCTCACTGAAACTTTTCCCACAGTCAGGACATTCAAAGGGTTTCTCTCCTGTATGAGTCCTCTGGTGTCTCATGAGGCTGGAATTTGTAATGAAACATTTCCCACAATCAGGACATTCAAAGGATTTCTTTCCTGTGTGAGTCCTCTGGTGTCTCATGAGGTGGGTATTTGTAATGAAACATTTCCCACAGTCAGGGCATTCAAAGGGCTTCTCTCCTGTGTGAATCCTCTGGTGTTTCACCAGATTGGAATGATCACTAAAACCTTTTCCACAGTCTGGACATTCAAATGGTTTCTCTCCGGTGTGAGTCCTCTGGTGAATTACCAGGTAGGAATTCTGACTGAAAGTTTTCCCACAGATAGGACATTCAATGGGTTTCTCTCCTGTGTGAGTTCTCTGGTGATTCACCAGGCTGAAATTATCACCAAAACCTTTTCCACAGTCAGGACATTCAAAGGGCTTCTCTCCTGTGTGAGTTCTCTGGTGTTTCACCAGATTGGAATTATCACTAAAACCTTTTCCACAGTCTGGACATTCAAATGGTTTCTGTCCTGTATGAGTCCTCTGGTGTCTCATGAGGTTGGAATTCTGACTGAAACTTTT